GGACATATGTTTAAAAAGAGAGCTACATGCACTTTAAAACGGGTCAAAATAGCTAAGGTTAGATTTTAACAATTCATAGAACTATTAAAAGACATTATAATGAATCAGCTAGTAGGTGTAACAATATATTCAAGTCTGCTACCAGTTATTCGTTTAATACACTTGAAGAGTAGAAGAAAACATAGAATCTTTGAATATGGCTCTTTTCTAAATCATTTGAAATACTGAGCCAAGCTGCTCAAGTACAACTTATGAAGATTTTTTTTTTTTCAGTAAACACTAAAAACAGCTGTGAAAGTCTGCAATATTCCATTAGGCTTTAAGAATCTGAAGATTAAACATTGCGGACAGGATTTCCCGTAGGCCCAGTGGCTGTTCTTGGGTTGCCTTCCACCATGACATGAGCAATAGTTCCACCGTTGTTGACATGATCACCTCTTTAAATACCTTCAGAAGTATCTCCATACACAGCATCAGCTCCTGGAATATCATTGCTTGTGTTGTCATCACCTCACTGTGGAGGAGTAAGGGGTATATTTAAGAAAACAGTTCTTAGAGGTGCTTAAACGTAAATATACGGAGATATCACCTGCTCTGCAAAACCAGGAAAGGGGAACACTGGTTGCGATCAAGAATGTGGGATATGGTGAATGACTGATGCTTTGATGAGAAATTAAACATTGATAGCTTCTGATGGAATGTTAAGACCCTCCCTTCTATTTCTCTAAGGTACTGAGGGAGAGCAATGTTTTGTGTATCCTCCATTCCAGCGACATGTAATATAATTAAAGCTACACACAAATAAAGAACATAGGCCAATTGATAGATGTTACCATGGGTTGAGACACTCCTGCAACAGGAACATTGGTCAGCTTGTTCATCTCAGCATAAAAAATCACAAACATAGCTGGGTCGGATGCATCTGATACTGCCATCTCCACCCGATACTTCTCACCAAAGAGAGATGCTTCGTATTTTTCTTCTCGCACCAGGTAGTATTCATGTAAAGAAATGTTGGTGCGCCAGTTAGAGATGTCCATAAATACATTCCCCTTTTCAAATTGGGATCCTACTTATCTGAAGAAAAAAGGACGCAGCATCCTTTAATAGCTTGGTACTAATGAACACAGCTAAAATAAATTAAGCACTTATGTCTATGAACAGATTGAACATAACAGAAGTTTTAAACTAACAAACACCACTCTAATATGCTTCGGAGTGGTTAGACGCACTCGTATAACAGAAGTAAACTAATACAGATTATAAGAAGAAGAATAATAAAAGCTTAATGGAAAAGAGGTACCTTTGATATCCATTCAATGACATCTTTCACTCAATCAATGTTGAGAGAAAACCAAAACATATATATCCATGCGGTTTTAGAACAGAGCCTCCTCGATATGATTCAAACCGTACAATTCACCAATAACTCGTGGCCTTTCAGCTTCATGAATAGCAAGCTTCTCACGTATGTCAATATGAGTTGTGTGAATACCAAGCTCAATCACAAAAGTGCTACTTCTCTCCTTTATATATCCTAAACCCCTTCAAAAGAGAATGAGAATAGCAAATAATGACAAAACCGGTTTCATATTACGTACAATGTCACACACATCATTAAAAGCTTCAAACTTCATGACAAAAAACATTGATTTGACTAACAAAAACACTCTATAATATTGAATTGGAAGTTCAAGGAAACCTCGGGAAAGAGAGAAATATTACGGTCAGATGCATAGTTCTTGTTCGAGAGCAAAGATAGTTGTTGCATTAGACTCATAATCAGACGAAGAAAGCTCGCAACGTGCTCTCTGGATTAGACTATGGCTGGTTCTATTGTTCCTCAGAGCACCAATGAGACCCAGCAGAGTCTGAAAAGTAGAGAAAGAATAAGAAAACAGATTATGGTGATTTAATAAAGTCTCAAGCTTTGGGCAACCAACGAATGCACTCAAGACCGCCATAGAAATCCAAATTTAGAAACAAAGATGATTAAGAGATTTATGAACGGAATTACCTTAGAATCAAAGAGTAGCATGTCCAAACCTATCAGCTCACCACTGTGTTTCACGGCCCTAGCTTCCAAAAATCTGAGCAGTTGCATCTGACTGTGTAAGAACAGAGACCAGGCTTAAAATCGGATCAGCGAGAATGATTTTATGAATTGAGAGAATGATGTTCTGGAGATGAGGTCTGACCTTTTTATAAGACGACAAAGACCACCTGAAAGAAGAATAAGAAGCATAGAACCTCCATTGGAGTTTAACCTACTAAGATCTATATAAACGCAGAACCGTAGAATCCATAAAAAACAAAATGGGCTACTCAGTCTCCTCTGCAAACGTTATTCATAAGTTTATTATATTCACATTTCCAAAGGAATAATTTAGGAGTTCACAAACAAAGTTAAAGCATAAATCTCTTGTTAGTAGTTGAAACAAACGTCACAACCAAGATAAAACTCTTGTAACCTCCAAAGAAAAACATCAATCATGAAATTTTTTTAAAAAAATAATGAAGGAAAGAGTGACCTCTAGACTCAGATTTCTAAAAGTGAAGGAGAGAGTGACCTATAGACTCAGATTTCTCATCACTCTTTTGTTATTGTTTTGGAGCTTTAGGAAAGTAGTTCTCATAATATGCAATGCAGATGCAGAAACAAAGACAGTAATAAAAAACACGCTTTTCTTTGAGATACCATATCCAAAAAATCAGGGGCTTTTATGCAAAAACATATTTTTCTTCTTGGGAGCTTCATCAGGGAAGAATCGCCGAAGTCTAGGATAGCAAAAACACCAATCAAATCTTTATCTCCAAACTCCTTTCTCCCAGTCGACGAAGCAAAGTGGCGACTCAAAAACCCTAATCCACCGCCTTCCACTTGATTCACAGACGCCGCCTCAATAGTGGCGGAGCAATCAGCCTTGTCGATCTCAGACCACCATGCCACCGTACAAAAACCCCTAATAAGACAACAATCAAGAGATGGTAAAAAAACACACACAAAAACTAAAGACGAATCTGAGAAAAAATCGAGAATAGAGACTCGGGTCTCACCAAAGAAAAAAAGGAATTAAATGAAATCTGTCCTACGTGGACTTGTTGACGTGGCGTCCGACGTGTCATGCCTAAAATGGAGAGATGCTCTTCTTTATATAATAGATATTAGTGGTTTGTGCACGCTACTCTTTTTTTTTTTGGGCAACGGTTTGTCCACGCTACCTATATGCGGGATATGCATTATTTGAGTTTAATAATTTGGTGTAAGCTATTGTTGGTTGTTTGCTGGGTTACCATTTGAAAATAATGTTTGTGTGAATGTTTTTGACTTCTTTAAACTTTTGTCCAGGGAAAGGTGATTTATTGAGGACAAATGAAAGAAAATTTTGATGTGGTGTAGTGTTTGAATTGTGGTCGTTCTAATTTCGTAAGCTGTTGAGTTTTATCTTTAAAAGTGCTAAGTAAAGAATTTGGTATGGCTAGTTAACGGTATGTAGAGCTCGAACTTCATTTTTCAAAGCTCCGATTATCTAGCCACAGAGTCAGCTCTCACTATGAACCTTTCCTCCTCCTACGGAGTCTTTAGTTTCTAATGAAAGTAGTTTGATAAAAAAAAAAGCTCCGAATATTTTACATTTTAGAAAGTTAAACCTTAGAAAATTTATTAACTATATTAGTGAATTTCTTTTGGTTAACATCTATACTATTATTTGCGAAGTGATTTTTCGTAACAGAGCTCTCACATTAAAAGTTAGAGTGATTAATATCGTTTATACCATTAATGAATAAAATATATAAATTAAGACATAAAATAAAAACGAAATTGATATTTATTTGATTAGATAAATGATTTAAATTAATAATAATGATAAGAATTATCCATAATATAAATATATTTAAAAATAAAAAACATAATTCCTATATATTGTGTTGTTATCCGGAAAATATATTTTAATAAAAAAATCAAAAACAGAAAACACATAAATAAATACTCATAAAGAAACTTTTTTATTGTAAATAATTGAAAAGAGAAAATTGAAAAAATTATAATACGTAATTATTTTCTAATTAAAAAATATAATAATATAAAAAATGATATATATATATATATTTGTGAAGTAATTTTTCGCCTCTGAACTCACACGTTAAATTAATTTATTTTATATTTTATAAAGTATAACATTAAACATGAATTAATCATAATAAAATAAAAGATCATACAAAAAGAAAAAAATACGTTGTTGACAAAATAAATTCAAATATATTGTATTATTATCCAAACTAATATTATTCTTTCTGTAAAATCAATTTTTGAATGTATATTTATTGATTCAATTTATCAAATTGAAAGATAAATTTTTATATATTTTTTATCAATTGAGAAGAAATGAAACAGATTTTAGATTTTGTTTTTCAATGTTTTAAAGGGAAAAATAGATTTTTTGTTAATTTATTAATAATTTTATCATGTAAAAACGTTTAGTGTTCTAGGTCTAATTTTTTGGATGAAAATAATCATTTATTTTGATGATTTTTTAAATTGTTTTAAAAATAATTAAGCCTGCATGTGCGGGCAAAACATCTAGTATTATATATCTTTATTCAGTTGTTAAGAGTTAAAACTATTTTTCTATTACTCAGATTGGTGAAGATTTTATAATCTAAATAGTTAAGTCGTCTTTAAAAAAGAATATTTATTGTAACTGAAAACGGAAACAAAGCAATGCAATTTTTTTTGTTTTTGTTTTGCAATGCAAATTAAAAAGGTAAGAAAATAAAAAGTGTGTAGCCTGCTATGGTCCGGTTTTTGTTTTAAGAAAACAATTTATATCAAGCTTCATCTTTCAAAATATGTTAAGTACTTGGGTTTTCTTAGCATATTAATAGATTTTAATATCATAATTAACCGGACATTAAAACAAATGCATATTGTGTAATTATGATGAAGCTTGATATAAATTGTTTTTATTGATCTGTGATATTAAATGAGGTGCAGCTTCTCAGTCTGTCTCCAAGTACTTGATGAGCTCATCCAGTGCATTGTGTGAGGAGCCTCCATCTCTGACAGAGGCTTTGACCTTCTCTTTCAGAACAAGTGCTCTCTCCCTCATGCATGCTCCTTCTTCATCCACAATTAACCTTTTCACAGCTCTCTCGACATGTTCTCTTTCCACTTCACCTTCAAGCGGGATTCCTACACTCCAGACGCTTTCTATATACGCTGCGTTTAACTTCTGCTCGCCCTGTAGAGGCATGCAGATCATTGGGACTCCTTCCGCAATGCTCTCGAGCGTTGAGTTCCATCCACAATGGCTCCAGAAGCCTCCCACTGAAGGATGCGCAAGTACTTCTATCTGTGGTGCCCAATTTACAATATATCCTCTTTCCGACACCATTTTACTCAGTTCATCTGGAAATGACTCAATGATGGAGCTGCTTTGGATGACCCATAAGAATGGCTGGCTGCTATTTGCCAACCCCCACGCCATCTCCAAAACTTCCTTAGTTTCCATATCAGCAAGGCTTCCCATGCTTACGTATATGACTGACCTTGCTTTCTGCTTGTTCAGCCATTCAATGCAGCTCATGTCTTGTTTCAGTAAACTTGAAGGCGCTGAAGCTGTAATGTGAAGAGGGCCTAAGGGGCACACTCGAATTTTGAGTTCTTGTAGCATCCATGACAGACACGAGTCTTCTAGACAGCTCGACGTGTTTACTATAATAGCGGAAGCTGTTCTTTTGTTGACTATTTCCTTACGAAGCTCCAGAAGTGGCTCCAATGGCCCAAGTCCTGTAGGCAGTAGGTGTTTGTATCTTAATGGATACAAATTTTCCACCACCTTTTCTTGCATCTCTGGATCTGCAAAATATTTTAAAAACCATGTTTAATTGTTGAAAATATTGGTTTGAGAATTTTACCAAAAAAAAAAATATTGGTTTGAGAAAAGCTATTAAGTTATAGTTTTAGGGCACCTTCTATGTCGGAGAAGAACCTTTCGGCATTGAGTTTGGTAAAATAACTGCCTGAAACAAAATTTATAGCACTTGTAGTGGTGAAGATGACACAAGGAATGTTAAACTCTCTAGCTGCAGCTTCACAGGAGTACATAAACTCGTCATAGATGATACATGCTTTATCGTTACCATGTTGCATCAACAACTGAGCTATACAATCCTTGAAGCTTGCCTCGGTTGTATTGTTGTGCTTTAACATAAACTTCATCGGTCCGAGTCTCTTCAATTCAGATTCAGGTAAGCTCTCCGGTATGGTGACAAATTGAAACCCAGGGAAGTCTTGTGAAGGGCTTACTCGATTGAACTGCCCCTGAGCAACTGTTATTGAGAAGCCCTTCAAGCTAAGGACTTTCCCAAGTTGCATAAAGGGAGTTACATGTCCTTGTGCTGGAACTGGAACTAACACTATCCTTCTCTTTGCTTGCTTGTTCTCCATTGCTTAACTTCTCTCTCTACGCGTTGAAGAACTGCTCTATACAAATATATCACGTCGAAGAACTGCTCTATATTTAGTCAAAAAAAAAAAGAACTGCTCTATTATGCAGCTTGGTAAATATTTTATAATCTAAACTTGACCCGCACCCTCCTCAGATGTTTGATTTAACTTGTGTTCAACATAAATTCATTAATAGCTGGTTTTATAAAAAATATTTTTTTTATGTTTTGTAATTTACATATTATTTTATAATATAAATGTATAATAATAACTTTTTTTATTTTGTACATAATGTTATATTTGAAATTTTATAACTTGATGCAATTTGATGTAATTATACTATTCATATATTAACATGTTATTTTCTTTGTTAATTTATTTAAAATGAAATAATATACTAAAAATTAATTTTTGCATTAGTTTTCTATGAATTATCATTAATTTTATGTTATTTTGTTTTTCTTTTGAAAATTGAACTCTCAAAATTTTATATTTGACTAAATTAAATAAAGTAATACTATATTTTAAAAAAAATATTATATATAATATATACTATACATTTCAGTTTATATTTTTATTTTTTCACCACAAAGAAAGAAAAAGCATTGTGATTAATTAATTTAAATTGATTTTAAACACAATAGTAGAATTTGTAAATAAAAAAAAATACAGAAAGAAAATATTAAATTTATTGTAAATGTAATGGCTAAATGTGCAAATAAAAAAAATATTTAATCTACTATCTATGTTTCCATTTATTCTACTATCCTTATTTCCAAACAATACCAAAATGTACTTCAGTTTTATTAATATAGATAGTTAAATCATCTTTAAAAAGAATATTTATTGACCTAAAACTGAAACAAATCAATATCATTTTGAAAAAATCTGTTTCACAAGGTTATTTACCATTTCATTAGACTTAACTTTTTTTGGTCTTACCATATGCTCCCCCATATGCTCCCTCCGTTTCATAATACTTGTCATTCTATGCTTAATTTTTTTGTCACAAGTTAAATGTCGTTTTAGAGTTTTGAGGAAAAATTTATTAGTTTTATATAATATTCTATTTTTCTATTGGTTGAAAAGTGGTTAGGAATATAGGTAACTGTGTTTTTATCTTGAAAATATGTAAAATTAAATGTTTCATTAATCTGTGTGCAAAAACCTAGAATGACAACTAAAGTGAAACGGAATGAGTACTTTTGTAACACTACATTAATTACATTATACCATATAGATACCCTGTGTTTACTCTAACCATAAAATCGATAATATTATACCATGAGGTGATTCGTTGGAATTTATCTTCCTACTTTAGTTTTATTTATTTTTAAGTTACTAGTCTTTATCAATTATGTTGTAGTTTTATTTTTAAAAGTTAAAATCCACATCTTGTTTCTACTAATTTTTATCAATCATGTTTTATCTTTATTTTTAAGCTACAGTGAAAATATAAAGTAATTTTTTTCTAATGTATTTTAGGTAAAAGTTCTACATCCTTCTTTTTTAAGCTGTAAAAAATCTGTCAAATAAATTAAACTATCTATAATAAATAAATTATATAATCACAATAAAAAAATCTATAAATGTTCTAATTTATTTTTGAGGTTTTTAAGTTATTGAAATATTAAAAAACATAAATATTATTTATATATCTCATTTTAAATAAATTTTGATAATTTATTTAAAAAATTAATATAAATTGTTTTGATTGATAAAAGTATTTTTTTTATATATACATCACATATATTATTGTAAAATATCTACAACCTATAATTTACAACTATAATAAATTTGACTAGAACAAAAGTTTCTACAGAAAATATACAATAACAAATACAGTTACATTTAACTTACCTACAACTAAACTTTTTCGAACCAATCATCATCCATATATTTACAGATTACTACAAAATTATACCAAAAGTACATCAATCCTATTAGCCACCAACGACTTCTAAACCTGTCGCATTAATCAAAAGATTATAACGTGACTGATCTATCCCAATATACAAAATATATATCATTCTAATTACCTACGAACTATGATACATTACACTCCATCTTGCCTTTGATCAGATTTCTGTTTTCTTTTTAAAATGAAAAAGCAGGTGTTCTGTCCTTTCCAGAACAACAAACAAAATCAAATTGAATCAAAATTTTAAAATCAACATCCATTTTTCAGAACAACAAACACAAAAATGTTTACCTTCTAAGTTTTACTTTAACAAACAGAAAAATGTTTAAAATCCACTGCTTGAAAGTATTCTTATACCTAAAAATAAGAATAATAATTAGGAAATAAAAAAATTTAACAGACGGAGATTGTTATACAACAAGTAACATCTTCTTAAACAATAGTAATTTATCTAAGACCAAACCCTTACATGTTTCGACGGAGTGAGCTTCAGAGCTTCTTCTAACACATCATAAACCAATCAGGCTGATATATTCTTTGGCGCTGTCTCATCCAAAGAGGAAAGAGTCTAAAACATGACAAAACCTTATCCAGATGTTGGCTAGACTTTGGACCTTTTTTTTGTCGACATTTTCATTTTCATCGAAATGAAAGACCAAAGGGCATACATGATGGGTCAGAAAATTTTACAATGAAGCCCATTAAAAGACAACAAATCAAACTTAATTTTAAAGGAATAGATTAACAAAAGCCCAAATAATTAAGATCCATTTATAACTAAGTGTAATAAATCATAATTAATGAATTCTAATGTTTAATAATAAATTAGATGTTTCAAACTTAATTTTAATTTAGATATATAATATATATTTTAGAGAAAATGATATGTTTTTAATAATAAAAATTATTTGATGATGATATTTGTGTGTTTAATATTATATATTCTTAATAACATATAAGAAAATGTTATATACTTTGTATTATATTTTAATAGCTTGATAGTTAATATACATATAATAAATTTGCCAAGAATATTTCTAATATCAATAGATTTACCTCATTTTACAATTTCTATCTGGTAATTTAGGATTTTCAGTTAGTTCAGATTAAAATATTTGATAATTCATATAATTTATAAATTTAAGTACCTATTTGATTCTTGGTTCGGTGTAAAAATTTTAGTGTCAAATATATATGATATGTTCGGTTATTTATAATATTCAGTTATATTTCACTTTTCGTTTTTTTTCATTTTGGTACGATTAAGGTCGCGGTTTTGGATAAATGTGCCCACATCTATACACAAAATTATATAGAATTTTAATTAAAAAAATACCATTTAATTTTAAAAAAATCCGCGCTTCTCAAGCGCGGATCAAAACATAGGTGCAAAATATTACTTACCAAATTTTAAGTGTTCTATTACGAATTTTATTTCTCTTTTTTTAACTACTTCGTTAATTGTCTTTACCATAATAATTATATAAATATTTATTAACTAATTAATACTTTGAGTATTCACTAAAATTTTATATTTTATTTAAGCTAATTAATTTAAGTAATTCATTATTTTAGTTAATTGATATTGTATTGAATGACACTATACATTTTCTTTGAAAGACAATCTAATATGTTTACATGTCTAAAATATAGATAACCAACTCACCACATAATCTCAAATATATAATTTGTAAATACTCATAATAAAAATATTTATCTTTACATCATAATACAAGTACTTATCTGTATATTTCATGTCTCACTTTTTAATAATTTTAAATTTTTTAATATTCATTAATTTTTAACATATATTAGTCATCGAATAACAATATAATTCGTAAAATCATATATAACTATATAAGACATTTGTCGGTTATTCTCTCAAATTTACTAAATTAATGGGTTAACTATTTTATTTTCTTAAATATGAAATTGTATTAATATATACTGTAAAATATAAATTAATTTGTCAATCTATTATTTTATGCCTATTTTCATACAAATAATAGCTTAATACATATATAAACCATGAATATACGATAAGAAATATAGATGGTATAGTTGATGGTTCAAAAAAACTACGCAATGTAAACTATAAAACTATTGTATTCACGAATGAAATATTAAACAATTCTTTAATACGGGGGAATGTTAAAAACATATACCCCTATTTATATAAAGTAAATATTAACGAAAGCGCAAATTAAAAGGCAAGAAAATGAGGAGTTTGTAGCTTGCTAGGGTCGGAGTGAAGGGAACATTTTATTTGCTTTCAGCATCTGTCAAATTGTGACATGTTAGTTTGCAACTTATGGTGATCTAGACAGAGGAAGCTGTCTGTTTTGTCAACTTGAAAGTCTTTGTTCTTATTTGGGTTCTGCGAAGTAAGGTCAAGTACCCTGCTGTTACGTAGTGAAAATAGAAACATAGGAGTTTTAGAATACCATGGAAGGGAACCGGGAATATTCTCATGTTTCTCATTTTAACGTCGGGAAAATAGAAACATAGGAGATTTGAATTACAATCTCCTGGTTAATTAAACATAGGAGTTTTGGGGTTGAAAAAAAAAACAAAGTACTTACCATATTTTGTAAGATGAAATTTGATATAACATATTTTGTGGGTAGTACTCTATGTAATATTTTTCATAGATGGTAAATGATAGATACCGACTACTAGAGCTGATGTGGCAGATGGTTCCTTTGTTGGCAAGGAAGTGAAGTTGCTGATTCATAGAGAGGCTTTGTTGTTACTGAACATGGAGAGTATAAATAGAACTCTTTACCTTTACGGTGGGAGCATCTTGAAACCCAGGGAAGTCTTGTGAAGGGTTTACTCGTTTGAACAGTCCCTGAGCAACTGTAATTGAGAAGCCCTTTGAGCTAAGGGCTTTCCCAAGTTGCATAAAGGGAGTTACATGTCCTTGTGCTGCAAATGGAACTAACACTATCCTTCTCTTTGCTTGCCTTTTCTCCATTGCTTAACCTCCCTGTTGAAGATAGTTCTAGACCTGATCCAAGAAGCAGGGGTGATGATGTCTTCTCAATGCTGGAAAGTCAAGGAAGTTGATGACCTCTCTCTTTCTCTCCCTCCTTTCAAATCCTTCGTTGGACAATTGCTCTAAATAAATGATCCATCATAATTTTTTAAATCCATTTGTATTAAAATACTCCACAATCATCCAAATGATGCCATTTTATAGTTGTTAAGTGTTCCTCTCATGTGGCAACTACTTTGTCTTATTGGAATAACAAAAGGAAGACAATAACATTAATCCAAGAACAGTCATGTGTGTTATTTTTGTTCGTTTTGTATTTTGCTGATGTAAGAGTTAGTAGGTTCTTTTTTGATGATTAAAAATGTCAAGAGCTCTGACTGTTTTAGTCAGTCACAAATGAGACAGAGGAAGCTGTCCGTTTGTCAAATGTTATTCCATTATTATACTTTCTAATGATGCCCAACTTGAAAGTCTTTGTATCTCAGGGGATGAAACTCTGGCACTAGCTCGTTTTTTTCTTTTTTTGGGTTCTGCAAAATAGGGCCGACTATGAGAATAATGGGGCCTAAGGCGATTTTTGAACGATTTCACCTAAATTTTTTTTTTCTACGGATCTGGGGGCCTAAAAACTTTTTTTAGAACCGGTATACATGTAAATTTTTCAAAAAAAATTGGGAGCCAAGGCTAATGTTTCATCCGGCTTTACCCAACGCCAGTCCTTCTGCGAAGTAAGGTCAAGAACCCTGCTGTTACGTAGTCAAAATAGAAACATAGGACTTTTAGAATACCATGGAAGGGAACCGGTACATTTTCTCATAACTGATTTGAATTGCTTTTTTATTGGGATTGCAAAAAAAAACCTAAGTACTTACCATATTTTGTAAGATGAAATTTGATATAACATATATTATCGGTAGGGTCGTCTATGTAATACCTTAATTAACCAGACGTTAAAAACAAAACATATTTTGTAAGATGAGGCTTGATATACATTGTTTTTATTGATCTGTAATATTAAATGAGGTGTGGCTTCTCAGTCTGTCTCTAAGTACTTGATGAGCTCATCCAATGCATTGTATGAGGTGCCTCCAGCTCTCACAGAGTCTTTGAGCTTCTCTTTTAGAACAAGGACTCTCTCCCTCATGCATGCACCTTCTTCATCCACAATCAACCTTTTCACAGCTCTCTCAACCTGTCCTCTTTCAACTTCACCTTCAAGCTGTATTCCTACACTCCAGAAGCTTTCTATATACATTGCGTTTACCTTCTGCTCACCTTGAAAAGGCCTGCAAATCATTGGGACTCCTTCCGCAATGCTCTCGAGCGTTGAGTTCCATCCACAATGGCTCCAGAAGCCTCCCACTGCAGGATGCGCAAGTACTTCTGTCTGCGGTGCCCATTTTACAATATATCCTCTTTCTGACACCATCTTACTCAGTTCAACTGGAAATAACTCTATCCCATCATCACCAAGGATGACCCATAAGAATGGTTGGTTGCTATTAGACAACCCCCACGCCATCTCCAAAGCTTCCTTGGTTTCCATGCTAGCAAGGCTTCCCATGCTAATGTATATGACTGACCTCGGCTTCTGTTTGTTCAGCCACTCAATGCAGCTCCTGTCTTGTTTCAATAAACTGGAAGGCGCTGAAGCTGTGATGTGAAGAGGGCCTAAGGGGTAGACTGGAACTTTGAGTTTTTGTTGAAGCCATGACACAGACGAGCTCTCTAGACATGTCGACGTGTTTATGATGAAAGCGGAAGCTGTTCTTTTGTTGACTACTTCCCTTAGCAGCTCCAGAAGTGGCTCCAATGGACCAAATCCTAAAGGTAGTAGGTGTTTGTATCTTAATGGATACAAATTTTCTACCACCTTGTCTTGGACCTCTGGATCTGCAAATTAAAAAAATTAAATATTGTTTAGTGAAACGATTGGTAAGAGATGGGTCATTGAGCTATATAGTTTTGGGCACCTTCTATGTCGGAGAAGAACTTTTCGGTATTGAGTTTGTTAAGAACGCATCGTGAAACATAACTTGTAGCACTTGTAGTGGTGAAGATGACACAAGGAATCTTAAACTCTCTAGCTGCAGCTTCACAGGAGTACATAAACTCGTCATAGATGATGCATGCTATATCATTACCATGTTGTATCAACAACTGAGCTAAACAATCCTCGAAGCTTGCCTCGTTGATTTTGTTGCGCTTTATAGTAAACTCGACCGGCCCGAGTCTCTCCAATTCAGACTCAGGTAAGCTTTCTGGTATGGTGACGTATTGAAACTCAGGGAAGTCTTGTGAAGGGCTTACTCGATTGAACAGTCCCTGAACAACAGTAATTGAGAAGCCCTTCAAGCTAAGGGCTTTCCCAAGTTGCATTAAGGGAGTTACATGTCCTTGTGCTGGAACTGGAACTAACACTATCCTTCTCTTTTCTTGCCTTTTCTCCATTCTAGACCTGGTCCAAGAAGCAGGGGCTGATGATGCCTTCTCAATGCTGGAAAGTCAAGAAAATTGGTGATCTCTCTCTCTCCCGCCCTCTAAATAAATGATCCATTATAGTTATTAAAATCCCATTTGTATTAAAATACTC